TACATGGATATTCTGGTTAGGAGTGTACAGTCACTGGGAAAAGAGACCAGCTCAGGATTAAACACTGGGGTTATTAAACAGCAACCCCAGGGCAGGAACTGTGGCAGACCTGGATTCATGGAAACTGAGACTGGAAGTAAGACAGCCGCCAGTCTCCTCGATAGTGTTTCTGCTCTTCACTCCGCTGTGGCTCCATTCTCCTCTTGTCACAGACTGACTTCCTCTTCTTGCTCTTCATTTCAGTTCCCTCATTAACTCAACGTGCTCAAAGCTTCTCATCACCATCCCCCAGCCCTCATCTACCTTTAGACTCCTACTGCTGATTGCCTTAGTCTTTCAATTTTCCAACTGTAAATTCCTGAAAGAGGGCCAATGTGTATTTTCAAGGTGGGTCATATGTCATACATTACTTTTAAGCTGTAATAGGTCACACAGGGGGAAGTCATAGATGTGATGCAAACGTCTGTAACCAGGTGGGCTGGGGGTTGACAGATACTATGAGGCATAACTTAGAGAATACCCTAAGCATAATTAATCCTCACAACAATCTTGAGTGACAGCCATTATTTTTTTTACTCATTTTATAGACATGAAAACTGAAGCTTAGAGAGGTGACAAATTTACCCAAGGTATTAAGTGGAAAAGCTGAAAAGTAAACTGAGGTTACCTAACTAACAAACTCAAAGCCTCCATTTTCATTATCATCTTTCTTGACTTCCAGGCTGAGTAACATTCTTGCTGTTCTCTACTTCCTGAAACTTAAACCTCTTTTTCTTGGGTTCTATGATATTGTACTCTTGGTTATGTACTTTTCTAATTGCTCCTCTACTCTTAAGTCCTCATTCTCCTTCCAATGCTCAAATGTAGGAGTTTTCCAAGGGGCTCCTCCTGGCTCCTTCTTGTCTCTTTCTGTATTTTCTTCTTAGGCAAATTCTTCAACTGTTACAGATTTGGATAAATTAGACATCACCATTTCCTAACCTGGGGTTCTTGAACACCCCAATCCTCACCCCACAGGAACTTCTGGATAGAATTTAGCAAGTTCATGAACTTGAATGAGAACAAAATAACGTCTTTATATTTTCACTAAACTCTAACTGAAATTTACCAATTCCTTCAATTATGAATGTAGACAAGAAACCACTGTAACAGCGGCAAACATCTGTGACTTTGTTACTAATAGAAATCACAGGTATTTTAATATTTTCCAATCATTGCAAATAACTCAAATTTTTATTTTTTCCAATTAGACTTCAAAATCATGGTGGTGATTTGACCCAGTACTAAATTGTGATATTTAATGCATTAATAAAGAAGTATGTATATCACCGTATCAAAAATTGTTTAATATTCTGATAAACGTTTTGCAATATAAGTAATTTCTGTTGTAATCTTGTCTCTTCTATTTTCTCTATTTGGAAACATTTTCTTTTTTTTTTTTACAAAGGGTCTATAGACATTACCAGACTGCTAAAGGTTGAGAAACCATCCTTCAAATCACTTTGCCTGGTGCCGGCCAAATGGCACATTGGTTAGGAGTTTGCTTGGGACGCCAGCTCTGAGCAGCAGAGCCCCGGTTCGGATCCCACATGCAGGCCAGTGACGCTGCGTCCTTGCAGCTAAGATGATGAACAATAGCTTGACCTGGAGCTGGGCTGCTGTGAGTTGCCGGCGACGGCGTAGGCTGCAGCCTCTGCTGCAGTGAGTGGCTGGCAGCTGGCGTGAGCGACTGGCAGCCCTGAGTGCTGCCAAGAGCCGCCGTGAGTGGCCATCCAGTGGCTGCGACCGATCTGCCTCACCCGGGAAGAGCGCAATGATAATACCAATATGGGCCAGTGAAGCAACGTCCTTCACAACTAGACTGAAGAACAAAAGGACAGCAGGACAGCAACTTGTCTGTTCCCCTCCCCCAATTCCCCAATAAAATCTTTAAAAAAAAAACCCAAAAAACACTTTGCCTGTTAACTAATCTTATTGTGGTGATTATTTCACAATGTATACATATATCAAGTCATTATGTTGCATACCTAAAATTTACACAATGTTTTATATATATATATATATATATATATATATATATATACATATATATATAATATCTCAATAAAGCTAAGAAAAAAAAAAAAACCAAAACAGAATTCTAGCCAGATGGTATACCATGACTTGCAAAAGGGATCAAGTCTTTGGCAATGCAGGAGCAACTCCCTGAAAACCTAATGACCTCAGTTTTCTGCGATCTGTCTTTAAGTTTCAGCGGTCTGTTTTATCTGCAGCCTTTACTTGTCAGATGGACATCTAATCCTCCCTGTATATGATACCCTGGTGTTGATCTTGGACCTCTAGCTTATATCCCAGATTGCTTTCTACTCTTGGTCACTCTTCCACTTTGTTTACTAACTCTGGGTCTCAACTCCATACTGAACTTTGAGGTTTCCTGGACTGCTAACACTCTGTACTGCATACAAGCTCTAAACTTTTTCATTGAACATGGAAAAAACAGAGCTAATTATTACCAGAGTAATTTTCTTCAAGTATAGCTCTGATTATATCCTTCTCTTTGTCAGAATGCTTGCAAATTAAGTACAAACTTCTCAGTTAGGACACTTTTGGTTCCACAAAACAGAAACCTATTTGAGGCAGCTTAAGTAAGATGAGTTTATGATATGCATACAGGAATATTACACAGGTCTCAAGAACAGGGATATACGAGTAGGTTGAACCATAAATAGACATTGGAAAACTTTTCTGCAAAGGGCCAGATAATAAATGTATTAGGCTTTGCCAGCCTTGTGGTTTCTGTCATTCTGCCATAGACAATATGAAAAGGAATGTGCTCCAATAAAACTTTATTTACAAAAAAAATCCTTGCTGGATTTGACACACAGGTCATAAAACTCAGGACACTCAAACTCATCTCTGTCGCCCTCTACACATGTGCTTTGCTGTTCTCTTCTTGATGAGTTTCTATAGCTTCTCTGGTCTCTTGTTGGAACATGGTTCTGAAAGCTCTGAGCTTCCATGTCACAAGTTCAAGTTCAGACTCTCTCTTTCCCAGTCCTAATACCAAATCCTTAGGTTAGAGATGTTGCCTGACCTTGCTTGGGTCAGGTGCTCACTTCAAACCAGTCAGCTGTCACTAAGGGTCTGGATCTTGCTGTAAGAACAGGGCTTTTGGGGACACTATCTCTATAACTTCTTAGATCAGAGTGGAGGGACAGATTCCCGAAAAGGGCAAGAAGCTGGGCAGACAATCAAGAAGAATCCTTGCAGTATTCATTCAAATTTATATTTTCAACCTTATCCCCTATAAGTCTCCCCACTTCCCTCTCTGACGCAAAGCCAGATCCTCACTATTCTCACATACTCTGCATCTCACCCTGCACCCCTCACCCCCATCCGCCAGCAGAAATTCTACTCATCTTAAAAGTCTCTTCTAAAAGGTCACCCTTTCCCCCTGTTTCCTTTATATCCACACAACACTCTGTATTGGTACAGTGTTTCTTCTGTCGCTATTTCTGTACCTTTTTCTTTGGCAGACAATAGGTGCTCTGCTGACTGAGAAAATGACTTACTCAACTTTTCATCCATTCTGGTACATTTCAGAGAATAGACTCTGAGTTCCTATTTGTTGAGTTTAACCATATCTTCACCTCCTGAATAATTTCAAACTGAAGAAAATGTTGACGTCTATGAAGTTGCATTTATACAGAAAATTACCATCTACCTTTAAGAAAATTATTTTAAATTTTATAAACGTTCATTTCCACATTATGATGGTCAAATTAAAGTGCATTTGCAGAGAAACAGTAATTACAGCAAAACTATATTTAAAATTGTTGAATACTAAGAAGAAATAAAGTCCCATTAAGATTGTATCTTCTGTTATTTTACTATAAATTAAAAGGAATACTACAGAAATTACTTAATAGGGAAGGTTATAAGCTTGAAATATTCAAAATCGCTCTAAAAAAACAAATGCTCCAAAATGATTAGTATTTGTGCAAGAAGTTTTCCAAAAGCCAGAGATGTCATCATCTAATTTCTCTCTTTTTAGAACTATTAATTAACATTATTCCCAGAACTCTGCTAAGCTCCCCTGCTGAAAGGAAGAAAGTAAATACAGTCCTGCAGGGAAAACTGGTTCATTTCCACGAAACTGTGAGAGGCTTGCGCTTTTGTGAAACAGAAGCACTTGCTAAAGAACTATTCCTAAACTATTAGCAACTACATAAAAGCTTTTTATTTAACAGCATCCTCCTGGGAGACTGCGCTGGAATGTGCAGCAGGTCTGAAAAAAGCACAGATTTGGCTCAATTGTAAATATTAGGTGCACTGAGTCAAAACCATTGTGTAAGGTAGGGGGAGGAGCGGGTGGGGTCCTGATTCCCAACGTTGATAAAAGGATTCTAATTTCGTTTGGTATTATTTTTCTACTACAATTACAGTTTTGCTAAGAAAAATAAAATATCCGTTGTGCTCTCAGCTGGGTTTCTAATTTTCTACGTCCACAGAAAAAGAAAACCTCTCATTTATCTAAAAGAATCACCTTTCTGCAATCTCCAGAGCCGCTGGGAAAAAACACAGGCGCGCCCAGTCCCACTGCCCTCACCACCGCCGCCTCCAGAAAGCCCGACCCGCCCCATGCCGCCCGCTGCAGGTCGCTGGGGCTTGCCCCACGGAGACGGCCTTGAGATGATCGTTGCCTGTTGGCGTTTCTGGGTGGAGATGCTCCAAACCAGTAAACCACAACACAGAACCTAAGCTTGGACTTTGAACCAAGCCTTTTTGCCCAGTTTTATTTTTCCCCGTGTCGCCGGCATTCTCGCCACCTCTTGTTCCAGGCTGTCCCCTGCCTCCCGCTCCCTTCCAGCCACCTTGCAAGCAAACGGGATTGACGCGCAATGAAGAGACAACCTGAAGGAGCTCAAGCAACCAGCCACTCCAGGGAGACACCGAAACTACAACTCCCATCATGCCCCGCACGCAGCTCCCTCCTCCCCCTCTCCTCCCCTCCCCTCCCTCGGCCGGCGGCCGGGAGGCGCTGAGCTTTTTAGCTGCGGCGGACCCGGCGGGAGGGATCCAGATCTCCGCGATCTTACCCGAAGGGAGCGCTGTGCCCGGTGGCAGCCACAGTTCTCAGCCGAGTTCTGCCTCCGCGTCCGCGCCAGCCCAGAGTCCGCAGGAGCAGACGGTGCGTCCCGGCGCGGCAAGAGGATGGTCATCCGCGTGTTCATCGCCTCCTCCTCGGGCTTCGTGGCGGTGAGCACTGCGGGGACCCGCGGCGGGCCGGGGTCGGGGCTGCGGGGCTAGGGGACACCGGGCGCGGGTCCTGCGGGAGGTGCGCGGCGCTCGCCCCTGCGCGTCTGGGCGCGCCGCACGTCCGGCCGCGCGAGCCCGCTCCCGGCAGGTGATCCATCACACTTGGACAACAATGAAAAGGGCGGGAGCAAAGGTGGCTGCGGGACCCCGGGCTCACACACATGCCCACTCTGCACCGCATGAGAGGGAGACAGCTCGGGCAGCCCCCAGCTCCAGTTGTGTGGCTGTGGAATTTGGGAAAGGGGTTGTCCGAGAGCTTCGGGGTTCCCCTTCCCTTGGTGTTAATTCTTCCGGATTTGGGACATTCAGCCTGGTTATGTGTTGTACAGGAGTTTTTTCTGCTGATTGGTTTGCTAGCCTACATTCTGAATGAAACAAGTGGTGATTGCTCTCCACTCTCTTCCCTTCCCCACCAAGTACATTTCTTTAGTTTCATACCTGCGCAAAGAGAACCGTAAACCAAGTTTTTTATGACATGCCAGGATTTTTTTGTTTGCTTTGTCGTTTTTGTTTGTTTGTTTTGCCTAGGGCGCTATAAATATTTTTACATCTTTATGTAAATGTGCATGTTTGGTTTCTGTGGTCAATTTCATCTTGGGGGGATGTATAAATTGTGGTCTCTTTAATTATTTTACGCTGTTTTGTTGGTTGATATTCTTGAATATTTTAAGAAAGAAGAATTTTTTCAGAAAGAAGAGAAGTTAGATAGTTAGATATCAAGAATTTAAGGAAAATTTAGTAGTATACTTGATAGCCCACTGAGTAAGACAGGTAGTGATATGTTTTATATGATTATTAAGAGTTGGTTTCCTTAGCTAACAGTTGAACTATAGATTTAAGAGGCTCTTTGTTGAGGTATATAATCATATAGTACATCAAAAAGTGCTATATTGATTTCTTACAATTTGGTCTGGCCAGTTGCCTGCCCAGCAACTCAACCAGATTGTCCCCAAATTTGTTTCTGAAGCAGGTGGGATGAAGGATGAAATAAACTATTGTTTGCAAATCCTTATAAACTACTGAGGCTTTTTATTTAAAAAGAAATCAACACTGTAGTTAGTACCAAAAAAGACTCCCTTTTGCATTAGGAACAATAGATGGGAAATGCCAACTTATCTTTACATACAGGCATGCGCTGGTCCCCAGACTCCTGATAGTTTTGGTGTTTCTAGTTATTTGTGGTTGCTTAGTCATACCTGCGTTTTATAGATTTCTCCCCTGAAGCTACACTCTATGTGTTTGGAAACCCATACTGTTTTGTGGGTAAATTTTTTTCAAATGCACTCCTTTGTGAGAACGCTACAAAGCTTTTGGTTTCACTACCAACTTTCATGCTTCAGGATTGTTCCAATAGCACTTTATTGATTACCCTAGAGATGCTTTATCGTATTAAGCATCCTAGGGTATGTTGGACAAGTCAGAGTCAAAACTTGAGGTAATTACTTGGCTTATCCTCTCAGTAGGTAGTATATGAAGATAGTTCTGGAACTCTGCATCACTATTTCCTCAATTCCATTAACAAATATTTATTGCCTGCCTGCGATATGCATTTTTAATTTTTAAATTTAATGTTCTGTGTTTTGCACATGAAGCTAGCTAGACTTAAGAGACTTCAGTTTTAATGCAGTCTCTGACTAGTGGTGTAAGCTTGAATAAGATGCTCCGTTTCTGCCTGGGTTTGTCTTCTGTAGAATGAAGGATTGTGATGAATAACTCAGAATTGCACTCTAGCTTTAAAAGGCTTTGACTTCATCAGTCAGGTAAATGTGGATAAATCCTTGTAACAGCTTCTTTTACTTTAACAATATACATATTAGCCTCAAAGTGAATTAATTTTTTTCCTTTGGTGTTTTACTGTGATGTCTCAGGTCCTCTCATTACCCGCCTGATAGTATGTGTTCTGACATGGTTTGACTTGGGTCTGTTATCACATACGTCCAGCCCATATACACTAATTATCTACTTTAATGGACCCAATCTTTTCAGGTCTCAGTCAATCCTCAGTCACTGAGTATCTCTAATTGTAATATCTTCTATATCAGCACACAGTTTTTCTGTAATTATGTACTATTGAAACTTTTGGCAATAATTTTATGCTTATATGCAAGAATAATGATTTCCAAGAGATAATGAAGTTATTTAGGTCAACTGTTGGGCTGGGGGGCTAATGGGTCTGATAGCATTAAGCTGTATTAAGTTTGATGGCGTAGCTATAGTGTTTTCCCTCCAGCAGTGTTGTGTTGACCACTGGCACTGTTTTATTTGGTGACTAACCATGACCAGCAAGTGCTTGGGAGAACAAATAATTTGATTCCCAAGTCAAGTTTGATTTTAGCTGAAGTTTATTAAACCTCAAGGAAGGAATGTGACTAGAATTAGATTTAGCTAAGTAAGTCCCAGGAATTTCCAAAGAGACCTCTGCCCTAATCAGCAATAGATTTAAACAGTCTCTGTAGAGAAAATCCTCACATCTTGTCCTGATTTCCCTGAACTCTCTGGGTTCAACACAGAGCAGTGATAGCTAGAATAATTAACACCAAAGGGTGACTGCCCTTTTATTCACCACAGCTCCAGGTAAAAGTCTGTTTTTACTAGGAAATAAAAGCAATGCCACATTATTATGCTATGGAGACCTGAAAAATCAGATTTCTTATGCAGCTGATAATGTTGCTATCATTCATATTGAAGTGAAGAAAATAGTATATTCATAGAAGTGCCATTTTAAAATTTAATTCATTCTGGTTGTATACCTGAAAGGGGAGGACTTGGTAACTTTATCTAGGAAATATAGGAATTTTTAATTTATAAATATGGAAATCAGTTCATTATTTCATTCATTCATTATTTCATTCATTCAATAAGTATTTTCTAAGGGTTTGCTGTTGGCTAGCTCTGTCCTTGGTTTTGTGGGGAACTGGAGGAGAAAAGAGGGTGCGGTCTCTGTCCTCAAGGAATTCAGGTAGGGACCAGGTGGGGAGATAAGATAGGAAAGGTAAAACCACTAGTAATAAAGTACAGCCCAAGGACACATGCCTCTTTCAGGAACATTCTTACCAGAGATAGAAATAATATAGGCAGCAGAGGGATGCATTGCAGGATGTCAGATAAGGAGGAAATGTGCCAGAAATCATGAAATATGCATGTGGGAGCCTTAGGCAGATGGCAGGGAGAGGGATTGAGTTAGATTTGGAGACTGGAGAGAGTGCATGAGCCTACCTTGTTCAAGCTGGAAAGAGAGGTACTTTGGGTGGGAGACAGCAGGCAGCAGAGGTCCCTGTGGATCTCTTTTGAGGACAAGGTGGACTCTAAGTCCTTGAAAGATGCATGTGATAACAAACTCCGTAGCTCAGAGATATCTTCAGTATCTGCAGCTTGCATGCTCTTTAGAGCCTTTTGTCCCCAGGGAACAAGGCGCTCTCTGGCAGGGAGGGACCCCTGGTATGTGTGTGATTTCAGAAAAATTTTACCACCCTACCTTGACTAAAATTTCTCAAAAAAGAAATAAAATAGTTAAAGTTCATGGGCTCAGTTGTTAGAGATAGAAGAAAATCTAAAGATATTTTTAATGAAGTCCAACCACATAATTTCACAGAGAAGCAAATTTGGGCATAGAGATTCAGTGACTTGCCCTGAGGTCACTTAGGTCAGTCAGTGTGCAGAGCTGAGTGTTAAATGAAAGCCAGGTCTCCCGACTCCTGAATATATTCATTCATGCATTCATTCAGCAATGCATTTATTCATGCATGGATTGATTCTTGCATTCTTCAAACAATCATTGAAAACCTATTAAGTACAGGCTCTTTGTTAGGTGCCGTTAGGTGCTAGGTATATGTGATGGTCAGGAGAACAGACTTAGACTCTTGCCTCATGGCACAAATCAGTGCTCACTCTCAAAGACCTGGGATGCAAACCATTTAACCAAGAATGAAGGACTGATACTGGCTTGGGGAATGTGTCCATGAGGCAGGGTGAAATGAGCTAGACAGCAATATATCCCCAGATATGGGAGATGTACCTTCACTGGGAGCAAAAGTTACAGAGAAGTTGGAAGCAAAGTTGGACAACATGGAGCTTTGCCCAGGGCTGCAATTGTGGCTTCAAGTTGGGGTGAGGTGGCGGGAGAACTCATAGAAGCTGTCCTCAGAGTTGTCTTGCTCTTTGCAACTCTAGAAGTCATACCCCACTGCATTGCATGACTTACAGCTATTTTAAACATGACCTGTTAAACAGTTGCATCTCCACAGAATATACAGTGAAGCTTCACTGCGTCAGGAAGCCTCTGACAGGAGTTCAAGGCTGTTAAAGCAGACTGGGCATTAATTCCTAAGTGATTCTAATGACAGATGGAGCTAGTGAGGGTAAGCCTGGGCTCGTTAGCATATTGAACTACTTGAATCTTCAGAGTTACACGGCAAGGTATTTATTCCCATACCATATTACAGATGGAGAGGCTGAAGTTAACTGACTTGATGAAATCATATGCAGTAGATGGTGGGACCTTGAGTCAAACGCTGGTGGGCAGGTGGCTTCTAAGCTCGTAGAGCAGAAGTCCACTATGGGCACTGTGGAGCCCCAGGGGAATGAGAGCCCCAGAAATGCTCGACGTCCTGCAGTGTGCCGGACGGTCCCCATAAGAACTGCCCCATGCAAAATGCCAGTGGTACCCCTGACGAGAAACAGGGCCGAAGGGCATTGATTGGCAGGAGAGGGTGTGGAGTGAGGTTAGGGAAGAGGTGGGAACATATGTGAAATGATCAAGAGAAGCAGGAATAAGTTGGGGGCACAAGGACAAGGATGTGATTGTAAGGGAAGGCGGGGCTGGGAAGGCATATGCCTTAGTTCCCTAAGGGCTGCCATTAACAAAGGACCAAAACATGGAGGGCTTAAACCATAGTTCTGGAAGCTAGAAGTCAAGATCAAGGCATTGGCAGGGCTGCTTT